TTATTTCAATTGAATACATACCCAATAGTGAGATTGCTGTATCAAATGGCAGTTCTATTTTCAGTTTTTTATTAAAGTACCATAATATGTTCAATAATGGCTGTACTAAATTGTATTCTCACCAACAGTATGCAAAGATTTCCTTGCCTACACTTGTTAGCATTTGTTTTTCAATAATAGCCATTCTAACAGGTATGAAGTGATATCTCATTGTGATTTTATTTGCATTTTCCTGACAATTAATGATGCTGAGGGTTTTTTTTTTCATATGCTTTTTGGTCATGTCTTCTAATAAATGTCTATTCAGATCTTTTGCCTGTTTTTAAACAGGGATATTTTCAAATAAGAATATATATTCATTTTTAGTGTATATATATATATATATCACTATTAAATTGAGTTTCTTACATATTTTGAATGTTAAACACTATTAGACAAACACTTTACAAATATTTTCTCCCATTCTATAGGCTGTTTATTCACTTTGTTGATTATTTCTCAGGCTCTTGAGAACTTTTTACTTTGATGTAATCTAGTTCGTCTATCTTTATGTTTGTTACCTGTGTTTTTTAGGCCATCTCTTAAAGTCATTGCCCAAATGTTGAAGAATTTTATTCCATATTTTCTTCTACTAGCTTTATGGTTTGGGATCTTAAATTTAAGTCCTTAATCCATTTTGACTTGATTTTATGTAAGGCGTGAGTTAAAGGTCTAATTTTATTGTTCCGCATGTAGATATCTAGTTTTCCCAACATAATATAAACAACAAAATATTTTTTTTATTTCCATCAAGGATAATTTTATTTTGACATCCAAAAGGAGCTTTTCAACCTAGATTTTTAATCTGCATTATTCTTATCATATTTGGGAACAAAGATAAGTTCTAAGATACTGTATTTTTTTCACCATTTTTAAATTCTCCAGCTGCACAAACATACTTAATTTTTGTCATTCAATTTTACATTTTCATATCCTCCAACCCCCTAGTTTACCTTCAAAAATCGTAAATGCAAAGATACTAAGTACATCTAACAAATTCTTCTAGGAAAAGGAAAACCTATCACATAAACAGAAGGGTTTTTTTGCCATAATAACATTATAGCAAAAAAGTAAGATAAATTTAGAATGTTTACATGCTAATAATAAAAAGTAAACAGAGGTAAGAAAAAGGATTGAGGAAAGAGTAGGGGAAATGGATGACAGAAAAGCCAGAATGTTATTCCCATAAGATAAATGGTAGGTGAGTTTTTAGATGGGAGAAAGGACATTGATTCCCCTGGAAGAATTGTGACAGTCAGATTCAGATATATGTGTTGGAGCAGAGGAGAAAGTTAGAAGGAGTTCTCATTTGGTGGCCTGAATTTTCTTCTGATAGACCATGAAATATTTTGATTCCAAGTTATAAGGCAGTGGTACATTAGGCTTTTGACTCAAAAGCTTTCTGTTCATTCTCCCAGGTTCATCTATGCTAAAAAAGTTAATTTATGGAAATCTAAAAAAAAATCTGTTATTCCATAACCTAAACTATTTCTCTTGGAAAGCCCTTCCCCTTTCCCAAGTTTGTATAGTTTCTTCCTATTCATTGGTTTCAGTCAGAGTCTGATAAGGAACACAATGCTGAGGATATTTTTAAAAGGAGATTTCATAGAATGGATTATTTACAAAATTTGGGGAAGGGATCTTAAAAAAAGAGAAATGAGAGATTCTTGGGGAAGCACTTAAAGTTCAAGGGTAGCATATAGAAATAGCACAGCGGCTCCCACCCTGGGCTCACCATGCAGCATGAGCCTGCTCTTGAAGTGCTGGAGATGCTGCCACTGCTGAGAACCCACCCATGCTGCAGATGCTCTGCAGGCACCAGAGTGCTGGCAGTTCAGGAGTGCTGACATCACTGTTGCAAACATATATGACATACAGTCAGCAACACCCCCACAGACCTCAAAATAAGAAACCCCTCTCATTTTTTCCTGTTACTGATATGTCAAAAAGGCTTCCCAGGAACAAGACAGTTACTTGTCAGGGAAGGATGAGAGATGAAATTTACCTGTCATTCTGAGCAGAGTTCAAGACTGAAGGAACCTGGGAGCCCATAAGTAAAGGAAATCATCCTTTAGATCTTAAAATTTAACTAAAATGGCTCTCATCATAGGACTTTTGTTGATGCCTGCTGTAATGCTTTGTGTGTTGCACTTTTTTTTTTTTTTTTTGGTGGTGCTAGGGATTTAACCCAGAGCCTTGTGCATGTGAGGCAAGCACTCTACCAACTGAGCTATATCCCCAGCCCCTGTGTTGCAGTATTCTATAAAAATCTTTAGGAAACTGGATCTCAACCACTTGCTCTGTCTTTAGTGCTCACCAGATTATGAGCTCTAGGAAGACAAGACACTCCATGGTCTTCTGAACTACTATTTCCTTGTGCTTATCTACTTATAAAGTGGAACTGAAATTCAATATCATGTGTGGTCCAGCAAATTGGCATAAAATGAACCAAGGTCCTAGGCCACACATGAATGGTTCAGAATAAAGTCACCAATCAGATTTTCATTCCCCTCATGGAGATGAGTGAGTTCAACTGTGAAAAATAATCCTTGGAAATGATGATCCATCAGGGCATGGTTTTGAGGAGAAGAATCCTGTAAGAAAACATAAGGTTGGTGATAATGTTACAGGGCTTAGGGGCTTCCCAGAAATTGAGGCAGCACAAACCCCACTCCCTCACTTCAAATCTCTATTCTTGTGATTAAGTCAGAAAGATTTTAGACATGTCACTCAGAGTAACAGCCATAAATTTATTGAAGGGATAGGTAAGGGAAAAGGGAGAAAGTAGGTCTTTTCAGAGAAGAGAGGGAAAGTGTGCCTCTCCTGTACTCCAGTTTTATTGGGGATCCCAATAAAGAGAGACCCACCAAGGTCCACCTCTTGACTCTTGACTGACAACAGGATAACATCAGACTTTCAAGTCCCCTTTGACATGACAACTCTAGGTCACTTTAGCCCATGCTGACTGGTTATAATTGGATTTTTAGCCATAAATTCTTACAGGTTTTATGTTAGAAGAACATATTCTTATCTCCATGAGTTTCTAGATCTGGTCTTGAAAGGATCATGAAAGTCTCCCCCTTCATGGTAACATGGGTTCTTATCA